TTTATAACGACGGTTGTAGCATGGTGGTGTCTGCGTGGCCTCCGAGATCGCTGGTTTAACCATGTGGCCACGAACTAACCAGGCCTCACAACTTTCCGTGGTCGAAAAATTGACCTGTCTGGTAGAGTGAAAGTACTTATTCGACACATTGGTAGGCTCTAACAGGTCATTAGGTAGGCCATATATGCATTCGATCGCCTAGCCGATGCCACGAATGGAGACGAATTCATGGCGCAGCCCTCAATCAGTGATCAACATCGGGCTCTTTGTCTTTTCTGAATCTGCACAGTTATCATTTATAACTACTCCGAATCCACTTTCGTATATTTGACTCCATACGATTACGAAGATCCACATCGCAGGAAACAACGGCTTTGGAAATCCGATTCGAACATTTCTGCTCTGAAGAAGGCGAATGCGCCGAGCTTTAGAAATCATAAAGGGTTTTTGGCAACTCTTGTCCCTCAAGTGTACAAACTTGTGTAGATGCAAGTAGACGTTAGTACGACTTATTTCAATTACCTGTATCACAAATGGTCCCCTTGATTGTCGAATGACTCGACCTGGCGCTAGCAAATCTTCCTTCTATCCCTGTCGCGTGCAAGAATAACCCAGGAGGTTCTGCTCGCTCAAGGGACTCGTTGAGCATCATATCTTTCTCTAAAGGTTTTCCGAAGAACTCTGACCATCGGGTTGGCAGTCTCCCTGCTGTGCGGTTTGACAACTCGAGAAATCCAGTCACTAACGGCTCTTGTTCATTGGTTGTTGTTAACACGCATTACCTGTCTAGTCCACCTTTCCTTCAATAGTCTGGGATGTAGGATGTAGGACAGCGTCTCTGAACGTTTGTAGTCAATGCTACGGACTCCTTTGCTCACTTGCGAGACATAGAAGACTCAAGATATCGTCCATTCGTATACGGGTGCTGTTTGTTCTCTTCACTATATTCTCGATGTTCTTGAAAGCTGCCCACGCCTCTCGCTTCCCCCTGCTCAACTTTAGAGCTAAGCCGTTCATCCATTGATTCATCATCCTAAATAGACATAAATAGAGCATTCGGAGATATTCGGTCCGTAGCGTGTGAATGGCGCATAAGAAATAAATCCATGAACATGGTTTTTCTTTTGAATTGCAACAGAAGACCAATCTTTCCACAGGTTTTATCAAAGGCGGCGAGTATTCGTTCCGCTTCGCTAAAGTTTGGTGTTATAAGAACGACGTCATCAGCAAAGCGAAGATGATGTAATTGCCGCTCATTGATTTTCACTCCCACGTTACCTCATTCTTATGTTCGCATGACGCTCTTGATGGTGGCGGCAAATAATTTTGGCGTAAATTTGGCGTATTTTGGCGTTAACATAGCTCACGAAGAATCTTGATATAATGAGTAAGGAAGCTCTAGCTGTCCATGTCCTCTATGACTGCATCTACTCCAACTGAGTCAAAGGCTTTCCTTAAATCGATAAAGGTGAGAGACAGCGCCTATTTTTACTTTCGCGATACTCAGCAAGTTTTGTTATGGCGTGGATATGGTTCATCGTAATGAGTTTTCTCCCAAACCCTGGTTGTTCACATGACTGACCTTCGTGCAGTATTCTGTCAATCCTGTTTACAATGACTCGATTGAAAAGTTTGTAGACGGCAGACAGCAAGCAGATTGGGCAATAGCTGCTGATATCCTGGTCTCCTTTCTTGAACAACAACACTGTCTTGCTAACTGCCACATACTTCCATGTGATTTCTGTGCGGTTGGTCTCTACGTGACATACTTAGTGGAAACCTCATAGGAAGCGGCCCTGAGGAAGGCGAAATCCGCCGAAACGTCAGCTTAATCGTGAGCAAAGAATAATAACACCTTGCGTTTGCTCAAAAAAAATACGAAGAAAATTACTGTCTTGCTAGTCTTCCATTGCAAGGGAACCTTGCATTCTGACAGGTAGCGTGAGTACACTCGACCAACTTTATGATAACTGGCGAGGGGTTATTCAAACGTCCAGATCTTATCTTGTCGAGACGAGATGTTGTTTGTCGTTCGATTCCTCACCGATGAAATAGCACGTCGGATTTCCGAAGGAAGACCCGGGTGAGATGAAATATCCGTTCTCCTTTATTTTATATGAGGACAAGGGGACATGACTATTGATGAGATTTGAGTAGCCATCGCGAATGATTCCTTCCTTGGTCTTTCTGGAAGCTGTAATTGTTCCGTCGGGATGTCGGAGTGCAATGATCTAGGTTTTGTAATTGGCAAAGCTTCGGTGGTGCGAATGCCTTTCTCAGCTTTTGAAGGTTCCACAATAACTGCTGCTATTCTCTGTTTAAAATCTTCGTGGAAAACCCTAAAGAACAACACCATTGATTTTACAGGGACGGCGTAACGTTCTCAAATACTCTGTCTCGTGATCTGTAAAATAGCTGTAGCTGCGGGTACAGCTGATTAACTTTGTTTACGAGCACGTTCGCCCAACTTGTAGGTGGCAGACCAATGGGACGTTTGCATTCTTTTGGAGTCCACTGTACTGCTCTTTTCGTCCATCTGTCTCACTCTGTGACCGGCCCATCTATGTTTCGCTGTCGACGTATATTCTCCTGGGTCTCAAAGATTTGATAGATTTTGAAGATCAAAGGTTCACATTCCGGCTAGATATTCAGAGTGGCGGTTATATTTCAGAAGACATCGCTCAAGCGCTCTGTGAGTAACGCGGAGTATTCTTGACGTGGTTGAAGTATCAGCCCACGTCTCTGCAGCATAACAGAGCGCTGGGAGGGTCATAGAATCAAAGAGATGAGAGCGGATTTTCGGGTCCTTCGGTTGGTCGGTGTCTTCTTTGAGAGGCCCGAATGCGGCCCAAGCTGCTCTCCTTCTTTTGCCTTGTTCCTCCTTCATGTTGTTTTCCATGTTCATTGATCGCCCAAGGTATATGTACGAGGCTTTCTCTGCAATGAGTGAGCCATCCAATTCAATTTTTTCGCCTTCGCACCATGATTTTTCATGAACTGGGTCTTCTTTCGACTTATGCGAAGTCCGATCTTCTTCCTCGCTTCGTTGAGCTCGTTGATCATCACTTCTGCTTCACCAGTGCTTCTTGAGAAGATGACAATGTCATCGGCAAAACGAAGGTTTGACGGGAATATTTCATCAATATGTATGCCTTTCTTATACCAATCGAGTGACTTCATTATCCACTGCAGTGCGGCACTGAACAGCTTTGGCGATATTATGTCGCCCTGTCGAACCCCTTTTCCTATGGGTATTGTAAGAGGTCGATGGAAAAGCTGCATTTTCATCCCCTCCACTGGTCTGGGATTTTCTCCTCTTGAAAGTAGCCTGTCATATGATTTGTGAGAAGTACATGTAAATTGTGGTCTCTAGCTCTAAGGAAATCGGCAGTGATATTGTCGGATCTTGGAACTGTGCCTCTTTTCATGCTTTCTTTCGCTACTCGAACCTTTCCAGGTGGCTTTTCTCCAGCAGGGATATTAGGGCCAAGGGCGAGGATTGTGGAACAGAAAAGGTTGGTGTAGAACGTCTTCGGTATTAATTCCATATCATGGCGGGAAGTTTTGACGATCCCATCTTCGTTCATCAGTGCTAACAGCAGAAAACCATAGTCACACAAGTCCCGACGACATTTTATCAGACTGCTTCTTTTCTCTGCTGCTTCCAGTATTTTCTTCTGCTCGTACCGTTGTAGATCTTCTGCAAAGCTCTTCTGCAGCTGGCATTTATTGCTAGCCATGTTAAACGTGTTGCAGTAGGATCAAGCTTCAGTTTCTTTCTCTTTTCGAGCAACTCCTTAGTAGTAGTGGAGATGCGGCCTGATCTTCTTGCTTGAGGAACTGAGGCATATTCAGCACAGCTTTTCAATCCTTCGAGAAACAGCTCGTAGTCTTCGGTCGGGTTTTCTTTAATCTGCCAGTCACGTTTGAGTAGGGCTTCGTTCAGAATGTTCTCGTCGTACACAGCTAAACTTTTTCCACGTGGTTGATGACATAAATTCTTTTCCAGCTTACGGCTGAATCGAATCTTCGCGGGAAGAAGGCGGTGATCGGAACCAGTGCAGAATGACGGGATTACCGGTGTGAAAAGTAGATACCATCTTCCCTTTGTTAGAATGTGGTCGACCTCTGCATGAGTCATACCGTTAGGAGACTCCCATGTCCAGCGGCGGCTTTCTTTCTTCTGAAAAAAACGAGTTTCCATGGTAGAGACGTGCTGCTGAAAGGAGTCCTGCGAGACGGTTCCCATTCTCATTTCTTTCTCCTAATCCAAAATTTCCGATCCTGTATTCGCTTTCGTTGGCCTTCCCTATCCCGGCGTTAAAGTCTCCAAGAACAAATTTATGATATCCTTCATTATCGTGGGTGACCTCCTCCAACTAATGGTAAAACGCATTTAATTCGTTCTCATCAGCCACATCGGTAGGTGAGTAGCAGTTGATAATTGTGATCTTCTTATGACGCGTCAGTTGAAGACGGCGGATGGCTATTTTAGGGAAAAGGATTTTGCATGAGTCGACGAGATAGACAGTGGACGGGTGTACGACAAAGCCTACGCCGCCAACATTTCGTGATGGGGCCTCTTCTCCACGGATGACAGGGGTCCTATTGTTTAGTTGGCGTATGTCGGTCTTCTTGATTTTTATTTCTTTTAGTGCGATCACATGAAGGTTGATTCGATCTGCGGCTACAAGAAGGGCGTGAAGATCGGCATCTGTGGAGAGTGTTTTGGTATTATACGTTCAGAGTGAGAAACAATCTCCATTACGCATCGTGCGTGTGTTCGTCAAATCCGGTTCCAATGACGGCCTGCATAACCCGAGATTTTGTGAACTCTCACCGGACGTCTCATTGCCTGACGTCATAGACGGAAGCACCAAGTCTACAGGGTACTAAGGCTGGCCTATTGCTGGTTGTGCAACTTGATCCTCCCTGGAGTCTTGACTTAACCTTGCAAAGGCGTATCCAGGTCTTCACCACGACGTGGATCGGTTGGAGGTATGTTTTCGGCCACGAATCCTTTGCTGTGTCTTCTTACTAGGTGATTAGGAGACGATGTTAAAACCAAAACCAGAAACGAAAGTAGGAATGAAAAAACAACAGACCGCTCAAGGACGATGTAGAAGTTGAACTCGAATTCGAATGGAACACTATTTAAAACATTGCGACTGGCCAGAAGCTCACTGGATGTGATTGTTCCAACGGCAACTAATCGCTTATGGCTCTTCGAAAAGATCTGTTTGTCCTGCAACAAATACAACACTAAAATGAAAAACAGAAAGTAGTTCTTTGCACTATTGCACGTCACGCAATATTTAATTGTTTGATTTTCACAAAGTACTCTGTTGTGAAAAAAGAATAGGCACTAAATAAAGGTTAAGCCATACCATGCATTCCTTTCATATCTGATAGAGAATAATGGATGATAGAGGGATGAAAACGCTTACCTGAGGTTGAGTGGAGGTCGTCTTATCACAAAGTGATAACTGATGCTCAGCAAAGTAATCAGTGCTTTAATTGAAGAACTTTCTTGCATAGGATGTTATCTTCAGCATTTTGAAGCAGTCTACAATTTTATCTCAAGAACAACACCACTGCTCAGAAAAAATGTGCGTCAGACCAGAAAATCATCTCTCACAGTTTCAGGCGAGGCACTTCTGCTCACCATGGATATCATCATCGCATCATTTGATTCGATATCCGAAGTAAACATGGTATGTGACGTATGATGATTCCAAATGTCTTGTTCTCGCGCAGTTTGCCTTTTCACCTAATTTTCTAGCATAGATATTCAATTGTTTTCCTATGAATTGATTCACTATCAAACGAATTCTATCAGGACTATACGATTACCATGTACTTGCATCAGTACTGGACTGACGAACGTCTATCATGGAGCAGTGCAGTACCGATCAAAGAGATGACTCTGAGTGGAGAGTTCTCACAGTAAGTCAGAAATCTTATCTGTTCAATTGAAAGTAGAAAGAAAATTTCAACTTTTATTTATTGCATGTTCCTTTTCATGGGCAGGTGAATGATGCGAAATGCAACCACAAGAGTGCTGAGATATGAGCAAAACTCGCAACTTCAGGTGAACTTCGAACCAGCGATTACCTCTTCCGGGGCTCACGTGCTATCTTTAATACCAGCATAGAACTTAGCTACCAAGCGGATCTTTCCCAGTCATCTTTCTACGCTATCGATGTTATCAGGAATCACCAGTCAACGGGAATGGTCTGGAGAACATGAACCAGAATTTAACCCGGAAAAAAAGTTGAAAGTTAAACGGAAGCTGCAGTAAAAATCACTCCCTTTCAGCTTTTATTTACTTACTTCTTTCTAACTGGTAGAGTATGATGTGAAGTACAACAACAGGGATGTGAGACGTGAGTAAAACTGCCGATAGCACCGATAAGCTAAAAAAATGGCTAAGAGAAAGACAGAGCAGGTGCCTCGATCGCCGTGGTGGGATAGCACGCAAATCCCCTGGTTCGAGTAATTGCGCCTTTGAAGTCCACATGAAGCTCCAAGTTTTATTAATATCTCAGCATCCCTGTGGTTGAAAAAGGAAAGTGTTCGTTAGGTTATTATTATTAATATGGTTTCTTTCTTCAAACGCATTGTTCTTTTCCTAAAAACACGGCATATGATTCTGATCACTAAGATGCTAGAGACTTGCTTAGATTCAATTCTTTATAGCACTTTTTCTCAAATCCATTTATGGCGTTTACCTCATCGATTTCCAAACTAATTGGAATAGTGGTCTTGCGAGTGCTTTTGTCTTCGGAGTTAACGTTGCTCTAAAACGAAAGTTCGAGACCGGAGAAACCGCTACCCTTCAAATAAATGCAGTAATATGGAGAACAGGAGAAGAAGAGTACCTTCCCTGAATAGAATGCAGCAAAAACAAACAAAATGGTTAAGATGCAATCTGATATAATATAATTACAAGACAATGTTGTATCATAAAATACCACTACACAGGAAGGGGTAGCACTGTGGTTGGTGATGCATTCCACCAGGAAGCCGTGTTCTGATTTGATTCCCTCTCCAATATTTCCTCCAGTCCACGTGGAAACGCTTCAGCTCGGCCATTACTAAGATTTCAATGAGAATCGACTCAACTATTCGACCAGCATTCTGCGGTATTCATAACGAAGATTGAAATCCTCCAGAAGCAGAAGAAAGAACATGCGAAATGTTTTAAAGCATTTGTGGACGAACAATGCGGTAAAATGAATTGAATGCAAGGAGTGCCGGAATTCGCACTGGAGGTATGATGACTGGACTTGTGAAATTCAAAAAAAGATAGAATTATAATCTATATGTAAGTAAAAAAGGATAGATGTGTCATCCCATCGGTTTTCATGGACAGCTGAAGAACATTCCGCCACTCTTCATTAATCCGCTCGCTCGGCCCTTCACATGGAACCATTCAGAATGCAAGGTCCCTATTCATTGGAAGACCACCAAGACTATGTTATAGTTCACAAACTGTGACCTCCACAATATCACCAACTATCACCCAATCTGCGTGCTGTGTGTCGTCTATGAACTCCTTACTCGAATCATCGTAAACGGAATCGAGCGAACATTGAATGAAGGACGGCCAGGGTTTCGGAAAAGATTCAGCACGGTGAACCATATCCATGCGATAAGAAAACTTACTGAGTATCGCGAGAGTTGGCGCTGTTTCTCACTTTCATGGATTTAAAGAAAGGCTTTGACTCATTTGAGGTAGACATAGAGGCCCTAGACAGATGCATTGGATACGACAAGTTATTTTATTCTAGCAAGATGAGATTGTGATCTTCAGGAGTATCTCTGAAGACATGTGTTTCCACAACTTTATTGCATCAAGGCTTATGTTTCGAACACAGAATCAAATGACAAAGCGAACCGTCACACGATCGTGTTCCCAAACGCATCGCTTGTATTTTCAGCTCATGCTCTCTCATTAGAAGTTGAAGATCATTATTTAGTTGTCACTTTTAAAAGAGAAAAAAAATTACACGTTCAATTAGGGCGATAGAGGAGGCTGTGTTCTATAAATCTGTACAGTTCTGAACTCCGCAAACGCATTCTATTGATTAAGAAACTAGCCTACAGTTGTCGAAAAATCGATTTCGATGTTAAATATCTCAACCATATTTGACCAAAATAGTAATAAAATGCTTTCCTAATTCTATTGGCTCGTTATTTCAGGAATATATGGGTGCCTGACACATTCCTCGCGAATGACAAGCACTCTTTTCTGCACGAAGTCACCGAACGAAACAAAATGCTACGAATAAGTGGAGACGGTAAAATCGCATACGGTATGAGGTAGGAGTCTTTTTCTTGATTTTACTTGACATTATCGTTAACTTAACCATACACATAATGCCCAACATAACCGCACTGGTATGAATTGATTTCAATGTACGTCTTCTTGATTCTCGTTGCGCATTTCGAATTGCAGCAAGCATGTCTCCGCACGTGATTTACGTGATTTACTCACCCACTTATCTACTCATTCATTTACTTGTTTAACTAATAAACAATATCACTTTATGTATGGGCCTGTGTGGCGAAGTGGTCGGAGGCGCCCTATAAAACACACAGCGGATCGATTTCCGCGCTCGTGGCTCACCAAGCCTTCCATCCCTCCGAGGTCGGCAATTTGACACCAGAATTGTCTGTGAGGTTAGCAGCACTGGCTCGATACATCAGTAAGCCACCGCGAGTCATTGTAAAGACTAGATATGAATCCAATCACCTCCAAATGACGCTTAATGAAGCCTAATGCATGACGCATCCCTCAGGGATCGATTAACGCCAAGAGCTTTATCCTTTTTAACTTGTTTATGTGGCCCACTTCATGCAATGTACGCATTCCAACACTGATTTTACTCAGGTCATTGTCTAATGTCCGTCGTTCACTAAGGTCTTGCGATTTTCATGTGAATTTGGTTTCGATCTGAGAACTTCATCTCCTTCATGAGTATCATTAAATGCTGCTCGAATTGATCCACTATGAAATTCAGAAATAGCAGTGCTTCTTTAAGTCTTTGCCACAGGTGGGCAAGAGCATTTTCCAAGCAACTCTCGTGTCCAATTGCGCAGCGCAGAGGAAATAAGATACTTAAAAGACTTCCCTGACTTGTCACGTGGTCGAACCGCTGACCATAAGTATAAGTGTGTGCGTTGCACGACACCTCCAAGCCTTGCGCTTCCTACACCCCACACCTCGTAGTGAGCTCTATTAATTGGGATAAAAACGTTGAAATCTGCAAAACTTTAGCAACAGGGTACAAATTATCAAAATGAACCTCTGATTTTCGAAAGCCCATAAGATTTATTCTTGACTTTTTTCGTCGGCGTTCGTATACCGACGAACGAAGTGATGAAATCAGCAATGTTGTCCTTAACCGTCTTCCTGTCATTGGTGACTGCCGCTGCGGCAATTGCGTTCGAGAATTCAAAATCTAAATCTTGGTTTAAAAGAAAAGACTCAATATTTCCAGTACTTCAGTTATCCAGAAGTCGCTGGCAGCTGTGAAAAACTAATTTTGTAGTGAATATGTTGGTGTATTCATCTGAAAAATCAGTGACTATTCATAATTTGACTAACTTTTGTGGATCCTAAAACTCACGTTCCGCTGTGTCATGGATCACCTCGGTTATGCGTCATTTCTAGAAAAATAAATTAAGGCTTCATGGATTATTAAGCTAGCATGAGGCTGCTAAAAAAGATATTCGGCTAACGTCTCGATGCCTTCGTATTCTTCAGGGCCAAATTGATTTTAGTCGATTACCCGCATCCGTTCGCCCTCGCGTTATATCTATTGTACATTTGTTATTCCGACTATGTCGACACTAGCTTTTCATTTGGACGAAGGACTAATCACCCAATTTTGTGGTCCACGTTGCAGCAGCCACAAATTTCGGCGTAACTACATCTATGAGAAGCACACATGCTTTCTATTTAATTAACTTAGTCTCCAATAGATATAAATAATATGAACGAAAGCAAATCTTCCGATGCCTTCACCCTTGCTGTTCGTTTTCGAATTTCTTGAATTTACCCAAAACGCATACAAATCTTTGCACTGGATTATAAAACACCAGGGCGAAAAACTGTGAAAGCGTTAGTTAGCGCTAGATCTGCTGAGGTTATGAAAGTTTTTTTGACTGAGTAGGTTATATGTTTATTTGGTCATTCCAGGCTCTGATGAAAACAAATGCAGCCGCAAACGTCAGCCATTCTAGAAGAAATCTTGTTATTGAGAGCCTCGTGGTCGCTCAGGAAGAGAACACTATTCTTTCTTTTTTAATGAGAAAAACGCATCATTCTTCTCATTTTTGCCCTTATAACACCTTTACTTTTTTTTTCCTCTCTTTCTTCTGATTCCTACAACTAGTCCATTAAGTGTAATACACTCCAAAATCCCGTAGATCACAAACTAGCCTTTCTAGGATAAAGTAAATTAGTCAGCTAAGCATCACTCAGCTGAACCAGATAAATTCTTTCGGCACGAGAGTGAGAGCTTCTCGAAACTCGGAAAAGCACATCGTGAGTAACGAGTTGTGCACGAGTCATATGAAAGTGTTCTCCTAAAGCGGATGTCTAGTCAAAAACCACTTTCTGGTCTTAATGTGCCTAGCCTACATTGCAGAACTTGAGCTGGAACGGGTAACATTCGTGAAGAACAAACACATCACCTTTTCAAGGTGCTATTTTATTTATGCTGATTTACTTTCACCCCGTTTTTCCTAAGAGAACATTCACTGTTCCAGAAGGGATACCTACACTTGTGACGTTCTAACTTTACTTTGTTGGACTTTTCATAAGCTTTAAGCTCATCTAAATGCACCAGATATTATTGGCGAAGTGTCATGTTTATAACCGCCAGAAAAGCCCAGTTATAACAGCTGCATTCCCCAGAGACCACACCTCTAACTTTCCCGGTGTTATCTGTCCTTCTTGAACATTAATGCTAACGCATGAAATAAGCCATAGATGTAGAAAATTCAATTTCAGCATTTTTGGCATATTCAATGCTTGAAAGGTGACCACAACATAGTAGAGTTTTTTCTGAAAAGAAAAATTGGGTTAGAAAAGCGTTCCGGAATTCTGACAATGAAAACCAGGTCTATTGATTTGAAGCAGCGGATTAAAAGCACGGAAGGTTGAGTGTATTTCCAACCAGTCATCCTTGCCCAGCTTTGCTCTCATTTTGCTTTTTGAACGCCGTTATTGAAACAATTTTTGTTTTAGTTGATCATTCAATGCCGAACCATTTTGTTATCTATTATTTATCATTCATTACTACTTTTATCAAACCGATCGAGTGGAAAATTGAATTGGACCCTCGTTTAGGTCATTAGGTTATTTCGAGGTTTTATTTGTTATTGTTGGCTCTACACAAAGAATTCTCGGTTCCACGACGTTTCCTAATTCTAACCATATGCCATTGTGGAAGTTATCGAATATGCGGGTAGCGCAGTGGTTAGAGGTGTGCTTCGACGCACATGTTCATTGGTACCATCTGGTACCTTGGGTCACCTCTACCTCCATTTCTTCGGGACAAAAACAAGTTATTGCCATATTCATCAAAACTTTAGCTCGATACATCTTCGGAGCCCAAAACCATAACAACATACAAGGAGTTCAGACAACTTTTTTAGAAAATCCGAAAGTAAAAAGAATCAAAACTCATTTGCATGAACAATGAGGTAAAGAAAGCAAAGTCCGTGGTAGAAGCACTAACGATTATCTCCTTGTGTTCTGTGTGGTACTCTCTTCGTCCGAATAATCGGAGGCAATCTTGATCTGCAGACTCCACCGCTCCTTCATTATTCCACCTATGCGAACGATTATTCGATAACTAATCCTAGCGGACCCGACTATCAGAATCCCAACTTCAATCTACTATTAACAATCGCTGCATTTCGTCTTATAAGGAATCAATAATATAAAGAAACGTGTACTCTACTCTAAATTGCATTTATATAAGGAATAAAACTTGTTTAGAAACGTTCAGGCTCACTTCAACGCTCAGCTGCTCGATGAACTTGCGTAATTTCCCGTTGGATTCACAGAACTGCACTGTTGAAATCGAATCGTGTAGGAAGACTTTTCAGTTAATATGAAATAATCGAGTTTCGAAAATGATTAATAAAACTGTGGTGTCAAAGAAGAATTTATTGCTATAGATGGCTACACAACGTCGGAAGTGCTTATGAAGTGGAATTACCCGAAAGCGGTTCACGGCGTTGAAGAAGCCGATGTTCCTCAGTTCACCATCACCGGTTTTCAGACGGAGGACCGTGTGGTGAGCACTGCTACGGGTAAGGAAGTGCTATTCATTTTGCACTGTTCCTGTAATAAATTACATTGTTACATTTCTCGATCCGGATCACACTCTATCACTCATTTACCAAGATACTGGCCCATCTTCACTGGATGTGCGGGCTGCAGCTAAATTTACATTTGCTGCTTTCTCAGGTCGTCCCCAACCCAGACAATCGCCACCCCTGTGGATCGGATGGAGGTTTGTCACCATCCGACTAGTTTGGTACTAGAACTATGGTGAATCTTGGTTTGGTTTACTCGTAGCTGGGCTTCCGGATAGAAACGACGGACTTCTTCTCAGCTTGGGAGGCCCCCGCTGTGGATTCCAGCCCGATACCCAGGAACAACTCCCGCTCGCAATGAGGCGGCAAACTGTTGGGGAGGAATTACTACATTGCTTTTGAAAAGTAGCTTTAATCTTGGACAACACCAGCCTGTTCTGTTCATCTGTTTTTTCACGATTTTTCTAGGCTCATATCAGCGATTGTCACTGGTGTTTCAACTACAACGCTCTGTTGGTTACTTTATTTTCCAAACATATCTGCCTTGTGTGCTGATTGTTATGTTATCGTGGGTATCGTTCTGGATCAATCATGAGGCGACTAGTGCTCGTGTTGCATTAGGTAGGTGAGTTTTACGATAACAACAAAATCTTGGGAGACATCACGTAATTTTCATTATTATTCAAGAAGCTCTAGAGTTTAAATTGTTCACCTCTGCAGAAAGGGTAAAGAATAAAGGATAAAACATTCGGCGTTGATTAGTCCATTAAGGATACGTCAAGTATTTACCTCAAATAAATATCGCAGAGATGATCAAGGGAGCGGATAGAACAGTGGTGCTAACCCCGTTCATTACGCGGATTGACCAACCTGCCCATGCACTGGTTCGACCTCGCTCCAGGACCACCAATTCCTTCCGCCGAAGTGGAGAAATTGATAGTAGACTTTCCTGGAACAGTCACACTCTCTGATCCAAGTGTGGATGCCCTATCCCAAATATTTCAGAGTTGCACAGCAATCGAGGACATTCTTCATGAAGAAGAAGAAGTCCTCAAACAGTAGTCAAACCAACAAACAAAAACGTTGGAAGGCCTTTGTGAATAGTGGATGCAGGAAAACGAATCGGATGCAAGAAGTACTGGAATCCGCACGTCGTGACACATCTGATGTCAGATCATTCAGTAATGAAATGTCTTGACATGACAAGGGGTTGTTGAACGCCTACATAATGACTCGCAGGGGCTATTGTTGTATCAACCCAATGTCCTTATCCTCTCAGACAAGCCTGGTATCGCTTTTCTGACCTAGAGAGCTTTAGTTAGCTATGGGGCAGAAAACAACTAACGCATGTGTGCCTATTTCAAAACACTTCTAACCACTAGCCTACACGCAAAATAGTCACACTTACCAATAATAACTCTGAGTTTACACACGTTAGCATTTGCTGATTGTTCTATTAACTGGTAACCCTTTTTCTTTAAAGTCTTTCGCAATCCTCTAAAGACCTATAGGACACTAGACGAAAGTAGAGGATTCTAAATCGACGATTCAGGCATTACTACCGTACTAACGATGACAACAATCTCTACTGGGGTACGCCAGTCGTTGCCTCGCATCAGCTATGTGAAAAGTATTGATGTGTATTTGGTAAGTTCATTAAGCGTGTCTGGGGAACTGCGGAAACTCTCAGGAGTCGGAATTCTTTTTTTCGGATGGTGGACCACTACTGAATCGGTACCAAGCCTTTTTCCCTTAATCAACATTGACACCCATGTTGAAAATCTCCACATTTTTCTAGCATCAAACTTTGGTGGCCGTAGCTCGTTGAGAATAAACAAGAAGAAGAAAATAAAGACCAAAGACTGGAAACTCACTCCACGACATTGTTCAATTTCGAAATAACGTATGACGGATAGTTCGTGAAAATTACTAAGCGGGAGGGAAACTTCCCCTTCCTTCTCCAGTCTGTGATTTTCCGGAGCTACTCGCCTTCTCGTTCCTCATCGAGCTTCCGATACTTCTGTTTGCGTTGTAGTTTCCTCTAGTTTTTTTCCCATTTGAAATATCGTATCACATTTAATTCCGAAAATTTACAGGTTATGTGTTTCGTTTTTGTCTTCGCTGCCCTTCTTGAATACGCGGCGGTAAATTACTCTTACTGGGGCCGTCGGTCACGAGGAACCGGAGAGCAAGGGTGAGACGATCACCTTGATTTCTGGAACAGTTTTACTTATCTGCAGCTAGTAGGAATAGAATAAGATATAAAACTTTTATTCATTCCAGATGGACAGCAAATAATGTGAATAAAGAAGATCGTGAAAGTGCAGTGAACATGAAGAGCTGGGGTGTCCCAAGCAGTATCATAAACGTACGTTTAAAACTTTGTAAATTCCTGACGTAGTAAGAATTCTTGTTAACAATGGGCTGCGCCTTCTAGCTTTTCGCATTACACCGTCTCCTTCATCTCTTAACTTCAGCTAACGACTTTGGGATATAACTCTTCAAAAAGATTCTAGCATAATCGACTACACATGCATTACAATTGCTCACTATGACAAAGTAGTGCAAGATACAAATTACGCTCAGTACAAGAAATATTAGAACTGTTTCTATTACGGCAAGTGTTTAGGAACTACAGCAGTCTTCGTCTGACCCGCGAACACAAGAGATGGACTCGAAGGAAGTAGTAGTTCACTCACGACGTCACAGACAGTCCAGTCCAATACCGTCCCTGTGTCCATCTGGAAAGAACGGTGTTGATGACACTCCAGAATATCCACGATATATGTCGACCATGTTTGGCAGGTGGAGTAGACCGTCGTTCTCAGCAAGGTGGAGAGTTTTACTAGCTTTGCCTCACGTTTGTGCCTTCGCATTGTGCTAGCGCTTTCAGAATGGGTACTACATGTAGTTCATCTCCAGTACTTATTTACACAAAATGCTTTTGAATCAGGCGTTCCTAGATTAAAAAGCACCAAGCTCACTAAGATGATTCAGCAGGCCCTCAAAAGTCATATTGCGGTGATCCATTTCGGCGCAGTGCTCTTCAATACACATCGTTTTGCTCGCTGGTTTGGTCCCACACTTTGGACCCACTAAGCCCTCCCATCCCTTAGGGGTCGTTATGTGGGTACCAACTTGTTTGAGACGATGAGAACAATATGTCAGCATGCCACTGTAGGTCACTGTAAGGCCCACATATGCATTTAGTTGCCTCTGTGATGTTCTTTGAAGTTGAGCGAATGGCATTTAAGGTAAGTCACACAACTCTAAAAAAAAAAAAAAAAAATGACAGGCCAAAATCAAAGACGTGGTTCATATTAAGGATGTCCTTGGTATAAGAGGTTATTTCTTTTGTAATCTGACAAAATTGATTCGCTTTCTTATGATGGCATGTTAAGTGAATAGTAGTAACAAGAATGTAGTTGAAAGCTGCATCATTGTTGATAGATAACAAATGATGGAGATCATCTACCACTGGTATTTTCTCTTGTAGCAGAACCTCACCATTAAGCTTACCAAATATTCTGCTCATTTGAAGCATTTAAATGGAGGGAATCGAGGGTGATCGAAAACGGGTCCAAGCCGTTGACCGGGATTGCAGGAGTCATTGAATATTTGGCGCGGCTAACATGCACATTACAACTTCGTTCTCCATAAAATTCCTTTTCGCCGGTTGTGATTGAAAACTGTGTTCTTCAACACATACTAATGTACTCGGTATATATTACCCTCATCTTACTTACGTTTGTGATGATTTACCATACAAAAGCCATACAACAGCGTAGAGGTTGCGCTATGAGACGGTGAAGATCGCAAGGATTTTTTAAGTATTGAACTGAAACGGTTTAGATGACCAGTATTTATAAAACCCTTTAGTCAAGAATAAAATAAAAATAAAAGGATAAGGTCCTCGGCGTTGATCGATCCCTGAGCGATGCGCTATGCATTCGACTTCATTAAGCACTGTTTAGAGGTGGTTGAATACATATCTGGTATTTACAATGATTCGCAGTGGCCTATCGATGTATCGAGCCGGTGCTGCTATCTTCTCTAACAAGTATGGTACCAATTTTCAGACTCCAGAGGAATGGAAGGCTTGGTGGGTCATGGACGCGGGAATCGATTCCACGTGTGTGTTGCAGGGAGCTTCCGACCACTGCGCCACAAGCACCCTTTTTTTGTAGGAATGTATTTGTGGGAAATGACCTTTTGAATTAGAATGTTAACTTTTCATCTACTGCCTACTACAACTTCTCACGGCAGGCTGTTATGTAAAATACAACCGCAATGATGCAGAGATATTTGCGTAACTCCGGACCGCTGGCGCATGCGAAACAAAGGATCCGCATGGTGTAGTGGTGAGCGTGTTATCCCCTTGAAAGGGTAATAAGATGCTCGATCGTCGTCGCAGAGTCTTGTGGTCAGTAGTTTTGCACATGTCTTAGCATCATTTTGAATTATTGTCTACGAAGCCGACAAAACCAGATGTTCGCCAAGTGGAAGAAGTGCGAGACGAAGGAAAACTTTTGTGCTAAATATTTGAAGGACCACCTCAGGAGAAGAATAGTAGGCGGGTCAGTGTTGATTTGAAACTCTATTAGGTCTAATGCTATACTTTACTTTGCGAAGAAAATTCGAAGACCTTTTGAGTAAATCACATAACACAGCTTCAATAGCGCACAAAAATATCGCTAAAGAACATCAAACAGATCACATTAGGATAGGTAATGTGCAAGAAAATTCAAGGCTAACCGTGTTAGGAGGCACAACTCTCCCTGACGGTGCGCGCTCGTTATTAGAATTGGGGCCGAGTTTCTCATCATCTGAACCCATTTCTAAGATAACCTTGGGTAGGGTCCCATGTGGTTTACATGAACTTCAGGATGGACTCCGCAAAAAAGCTAGAGATGAAGCGCTAAATAGGTGCGAA